TATTTACAGGTTTTATAATATTCAAAGGCCAATTAAGAGAGAGAGAGAGAGATAAAGAGGGAGAGGCAGAGAGAGGTAAAGGGAGAGTTTAAGGACTAAGGAAGAGGGAGTGAACCAGAGAGAGACAAGAGGGCACAAAAAGCAGAGAAGGTGAGCGAACCAGAGAGGTCAAAGATTCAAACATGTAACAGAGTTTTGAAACTATGCATTTACAAAATCTTTAAGGAGTTGAACGAGGACGTTAACCTCCGGCCCGGTCCAGCCTCCGCAGTGCATGGATACATCTTCCCCTCTCCTGAACCCTGCCCTCCTTCTTTCCTCCCCGTGTTTTTGTTTTTAAACATTCATTTTGCTTGCTCAGCCTGTGGTGGCCCTAACCAGCGGCCCAGGCGATAACTCTGTGGTTCAGTTTTCATACGCACACAAACACGCAACCTCAGCATATACAAAGAAACCAAACACACCTCAAGTCTGTACATAAGAGGGGTAGGGAAAAAAAACAAGCACGCAGCATTCACCACAAAGATTACACGCTCATCCCTGTACATACAGCACACTGCACTGACACCGTGGCTTCACCTCCAACGGCACCTTGATTCCTGTGAAGGAGCAGTCTAAATAGTTTGAAGGGTTGCCACTAGAAGTTCACCACACAGCTCTCACTACCTCTCTGCATATCACAGCTCATAACCTGATCACCCATACTAATTAATACGATTTTGTGTGTATACTCACAACTCTTGAGATTTGCAGCTTTGTAATTTTATTACAAAAAGTCATGCCTAAAGTCTAGCAGACATTTGCCGGTGTTAAAAATAAGATATGACTGTCTTGCTTGTTTTTCCTATTGTTTTCTAAGTCAGTGTCATTGCTCAGTCAACAGTTTTTCTTGTAGGTTTTTCTTAAGTCCTGTAGGATGGTCTCACATAATAATAGCTGTGGTCTACATGTGAAACCTTCTGAATAATCAGCCCAACCTGCAGCCCCACCCATTCCAGCTCGAGCATAAAGCAGCCCCCAAGACTCCTCCCTTCTTCACATGCCGAGTCATTTCAGTGTAGACTGTCTAAGACTTCATTCAGCCTTCAGTGGGGATGTGAGTCAAGTCAAAGTCATGTCTGCTTTCTAGTTGAGTCCCTAGAGCTCTACTTTCTGCGCCGCACCGCCGTCTTGATCTTGCGCCCTGCGATCGCCTGCTGTCCACCAGGCGAAGCGGTGAAGGATTTTGCGGCCCTGGAAGAGCAAATTATGTCCCATAATTATCACAATCAATCACCACAATCAAACACATAGCATATATACAGAGAAAATTTGTAGCATAGCAGATAAATCAATAAGCTATATCATTAGTGTCGAAGTATTATCAAACACATCAGAAAAATAAATATGAGAACCCCTTTTTTAAAGATGTTACTGCTAAAGCTACAAGATTAAACCACTGAAATGACACCAATTCAATCATCGAAACAAAAATGTGGCAGTACAGCTTACTCTCAAAAGGAAACTAAGAAGGTTTAACGTACCCAATGTTGAATGCTGGGGGTTGGGAGTTGAAGTTGAATCCACCTCCAGGTGCTGTTGACTGGGGTGCGATGGAGGGGCTGGCAGAAGGAGCGGGAGAAGCAGCTGAACCAACTCCAAAAGTAAACACACCCGAGGTGTTGTTTGTGGCTCCGAATGCACTAGCTCCTCCAAACTGAAACCCTCCACCTGAAAAACACAAAGCACATTCACACATTAAAAGACACCTATCATTACACGTACATGTGATAAGTTTATATTGTGGGGATCAATAGCATATTGTATTGCAGATACAGACAACCTAAAAGGAAAAATGGTTATTTGAGTTACCAACCTGGTGCAGAATTTGCAGCTGCCCCAAAAACAGGTGTGGAGTTCACCTGCTGTCCAAAGACAGGGGCTGCGTCAGTTTTGGCCCCAAAGGCGGGGGCCTGCGAGGGCGTGGCTGAGAAAGAGGACCCGAAAGATGAGCCAAATGACGGAGGCTGGTTGGCCCCAAAGCCACCAGCAGGAGCTGAGCTGAATACAAATGGTGGGGGAGCTGCAGATGGACCTGTGGGCGAAAGATATAAATATATGTTCAGATCAGAAATATAAACTTACGTTTTTATTATATATGATGAAAATAATTTACAGTTGTCAAAGAAGACCTGAATGATCACAAAGAGATACAAACCTGAAGATGAGGCAGCAGAGGGAGCTGCTGCTCCAAAGCCGAAGGAAGGAGCAGCAGCAGGAGGAGGAGCAGCGTTGGAAGAAACACCAAAGATGAAGGGCTGAGAGGGAGTTGGAGCTGGGACAGAGTTCAGAGGAGCTGCTGATGGAGCAGGCGGCTGGCTGTCCTGGTTCTGTCCAAAGACAAAGGCTTTAGCTGGAGGACCGTCACTGGAGGTTGCAACGGGCTGACCGAACATGAACGTGCTGGGAGCTGCAGCCTGGGTGGAGCTGTTACTGCTGCTGTTGCCAAACAGACTGGGGGTCGGGGTTGAGGATGACGAGGTGGTGGAGCTAGTGGTGTCGGTGGGATTACTAGCCATAAAGGAAAATGCTGGTTTTGGAGAAGCAGCAGAATCTGTTGGGAGGAAGAGGGAAAGAGTCTTCATTTTGTATTTATAGTATTTAAGCTTGATCAAGTTTGGCCAACCATATTTATTGTTATTGTGTATATATCAATAAATAATCTAAGCATACGAAACTTTACAAAAAGCCTTCACAAATGAACTACCTGTAGCACTTTGTCCAAAGGTGAAGGAGGGCTTTAGTGCCTCTGCAGCAGATGTTTCACTCTTGTCCGCTGGCTTGCCAAAGGCAAACGTGGGTGGAGGCTGTTCTGTTGGAGCACTGGGATTGCTGAAGGAAAAGCCACCTGTAGTGGCTGGTGCTGGTGTCGCATCTACATCCTTACTAGCAGCACCAAAGAGGAAGGTAGACTGAGCTGAGGAGGCAGCGCCTTCCTTCTTTTCCTCCGGCTTTCCGAAGGTAAACGTGGGAGCAGCCGGCTCTTTGTCCGTCTGTAAGGAGCCAAACGTCGAGCCACCTTGTGGTGTGGTGGTCGCCAAACTTCGCTCTCCAAGTCTCCCAAAGACAGATCCGGCGGTGGTGGTTGTTTTATTGGTGTTTGCTGATGTGGTGTCGTTTGATGATGCAGCACTGTCGCTGTTGCCTTGAGAAGAAACAGGTGCAGTGAAATTAACAGAGGGTGATGTGGTGGTGTCCGCTGTTTTCTCTTCAGGTTTGGACAGTCCAAAAGTGAAGCCACCCTTAGTAGTGTTGCTTTCTGTACTTGATGATCCAGTTCCAAACACTATCCCATCACAGGCTCCGAACTTAAACCCAGAACCTGTGCTAGGCTCGTCTGACTTTTTGTCTTCACCAGAGGCAGTCCCAAATTTAAAGCCCTCACCTGAGCTGCCAAATTTGAACCCTGATGAGGCAGTAGCGTCTTTAGAAGTGGATTCTGATGAGGAGATTCCAAATTTGAATCCACCTGATGATGATTCTGAAAACGAGCCTCCAAACTTGAAACCCCCAGATCCAGACCCTTCGGTACTGTCAGATGTGCCAAACTTAAAACCTCCAGATCCTGAGGTGCTGTCAGATGTGCCGAACTTGAAACCTCCAGAATTAGAAGAGCCAAATGTGGAGGAGCCAGCAGCTGTTGAACCAAATGCTGAAGAGAAACAAGACAAAAAAAGTGAGGATTTGATTTATGTCACATTTCAACTTCTAGTACTTCAGTCATCATGCATGAATATTTTTCATAAAATACAAATACATCAGAAAATATAAATGTATATGCTACTATGCATCAAGAAACATTTGGAATCATTACTAAGATCAAAATTCATATGAACATGAAAATGTGAGTTGACTTTTCAAGTAATTTACTGATAACAGGAAGTTGTAAGAAAATTGAAAGTAGTCTGTTTTATGTTTTTACCTTTGGGCTCCACATTGGCTCCAGGTTTGGATGTTTGACAAGCAACACACTGCACATCAGCAGCCTTATTTTGGACAAGACAGACATCACACTCCCAGGCACCATCTGGTTTTTTAAATATATCTCCAAAGTTAAACACTGGAGCAGTGCTGGCTGAGGATGAGTCAACTGAAGCTCCTGTAGTGTTGATGAAGAAAGGAAGATACTTCATTAAACTAATAATTATCTCCTAAATTACATTTTTTTCAATGACACAACTTAAATATATCAAATTACATAACCATGGTCATGCTCCGATTACCTGGTTTGGCGCTCGTGCATGCCACACACTTTGTGTCCTCTGCCTTGTTCTCTACCAAACATGTACCACATTCCCATGCACCCTCTGGTTTTTTGAACTTGTCTCCAAATCCAATGAGCCCTGTGGAAACAAGGGCTGTGGGGGTGGATACAGTCTTAACGGCTGAGAAGGCAGAAGGAAGAGTCAGTGAGGGTTTAAGTCCTGTCCCCGGTTTGGCCGTTTCACAGGCCACACACTTAACTGCATCAGGTTTGTTAAGAACGAGACACGTGTCACAGTCCCAGGTTCCCACAGGTTTGGAAAACATT